TTCCTCTGCTGGGGTGGGGGAGAGTTCTGGGAAGGAGATCTTTTCTTGGCCTCCTTGCTCCTTGTAGGCCCAGTTTCCGCCAGGCCTTGGTGTTAAGGGTGGTAGGGAGGGGGGGCCCCCGCAGGGGCTATTTCAGTCAGAGACAGTCCTGCCAGGAAACAGAGGAAGCTGCCCGCCCAGCAGAGGTGTCACAGCCCAGGCTGGGGGCAGGAGGGTGGGGAGCCTCATGTCTGGCTTCCCCTTGCTCCACCACACTTCGGACCACCACGGCGCTTCAGGGACAGGAGGCTGCATGTGAGTGTTGGTGTATCTCGGGGCCATGGGCCAGTGTGAAGTGGGGCTGGGGCTGGACCCAAGGAACTCTGACTTTGGGCAGGCAGGCTGCGTTTAGTGCTGACCTAAAGGAGGTCCACAGAATTGGGGGTTCCCAGAGGAAGGGATTCCACCCAACTGGGGGATCAGAAAAGGAAGAAGAGCCCTGGCCAGTGTGGCTCAGTTGGTCGTCTGGTGCACCAAGAGGTCACCGGTTCAATTCTCGGTGGTGGGCTGAGTCCCCGGGAGGCAACCCATCGATGTTCTCTCAAATCGATGTCTCTCTCTCTCTCTCTCTCTCTCTCTCCCTTCCTCTCCCTTTCTCTCTCTCCAAAATCAATAAAAACAGCCCGACCGGTATGGCTCAGCGANTGTTTCTCTCTCTCTCTCTCTCTCTCTCTCTCCCTTCCTCTCCCTTTCTCTCTCTCCAAAATCAATAAAAACAGCCCGACCGGTATGGCTCAGGGATTGAGCATCGACCTAGGATCCAGGAGATCACGGTCTAATTCCCGGTCAGGGCACATGCCAGGGTTGCGGGCTTAATGNATTGAGCATCGACCTAGGATCCAGGAGATCGCGGTCCAATTCCCGGTCAGGGCACATGCCAGGGTTGCGGGCTTAATCNCTCTCTCTCTCTCTCTCTCTCTCTCTCCCTTCCTCTCCCTTTCTCTCTCTCCAAAATCAATAAAAACAGCCCGACCGGTATGGCTCAGGGATTGAGCATCGACCTAGGATCCAGGAGATCACGGTCTAATTCCCGGTCAGGGCACATGCCAGGGTTGCGGGCTTAATGCCTGGTCAGGGGTGTGCAGGAAACAGCCGATCAATGACTCTCTCATCATTGATGGTTCTATCTCTCTCCCTCTCCCTGAAATCAATAAAAATATATTTTAAAAGTAATTAAAAAATCAATAAAAACATATTTTTTTTAGAAAAGGAAGAAGCAAAATTAGATCTGGAGCTTGATGGACACTTGGGGGGTTGACAAACAGAGGCGGGTTGAATGGCACTTTGTGTGAAGAGAACAGTAAAGATGGGGAGGCTGGAGAGGAAGCCTGGATTTCTGGCAGTCTCGGTGTCTTCGAAACAGTGTGACAAGAGAGGAAGGGGCAGAGTGGAGGGACCTGGGGTACTTCAGATGAGTCTAGAAGACTCAGCAGAAGCTTCACTGTCAGGACAAGGGTTTGAGCTTTTGCCCAAAGGACAGAGGGATGCAGGAAAGAAGGTAGTCAGAGCCATCTGTTAGAAAGCCCCCCACCATGGGCGGAGTAGCTGGGGCCCAGGAGGAGGCTGAGGTCTGAGCTGGTCCAGGCCTCAGGGCCCAAGAGTGGGTGACAGATGTGATAGCTGGAGAGAGCCACCGTCAGCTGCTGCCTGGAGGCAGGGGCCTAGCAAGCCCCTTCTCAGAACCAGCTCCTGCCAGGAACTGGGAGAACAGCTCACCCCTCCTGTGTCCTCAGAAGGCAGAATGGCTGAGGGAGCCAGGTGACAGCCAGCCTGCCTTTCCTGGGACAGACCTAAAGGTTTGCCCTGAATCCTCTCATGCAGCCCTGCTTCCTGATAAAAGGACCCATCTCACCAGGGAGTGGGGGGCAGAAAACAACTAGGGTCTCCAGTCACCTAAGTCAGAGTGCTCTTTCTGGGGTGGTGTCTGAGGGCAACAGGCCTCTCCAGGAGGGTTTAGGGATACAGCAACGCAGTTCCTTCCACCAGCTTCCTCCTTCTCACTATGACCCTCTGCCCAGCAGGCTGCTCTCCATTCAGTCCCTGTCTGCTCCACCTTCCTCCCCACCTGGGGACACCCCAGGAGTCCTCACACCCCTCTCCACCCAGAGAAACCCTAGCCAGCCATCAGGGACTTGCTCCACCCTTCACCCTCCTCTGAAAACTCTTCCATCCTATGGCTCACACTGGTCTTCCCCCTCAGACTAGCACATGTACAGGGTGGGACAAAAGTAGGTTTATAAGAATAAACACAGAGTTTATCCTTATATTATTATTTATTATTGTATCGTTTTCCTTACTAACAATTGTAAACCAACTTTTGCCCCACTCTGTATAGGTATATATATAGAAGTATAGGTAAATGTGCATATGTATTTCTGTGTCTGTATCTGTCTACCTACTTCTATGTCTATATACTGTGTCTCATGCATCCAGTAGGCAGTAAATACTCATTAAATGCCTTGCATGAAAAAACCAAAAAATGAATATGTGAATGAAAGAATGGCCTGAACAAATGAGTGAAGAGATGAATGAATAAACTTTCTCTTGCCTGTCCTAATCTTGCCTTCCTGGTTACAGTGGAGATACTGCCAAGCTTCTTCCTTGGCCTTCCCCTTGTGCCTAACTGGTCAGCTGGGCACTCAGCACTCCTAACTCAGGGGATGAAGTTCACAAAGACTCTTTGGTAACTAAAGGTGATAGGGCATGTGAGATACAGACTGGAAAATCCAAACATCATCATTTTGCAGTTGCCCAGAATCTGGGTAAAATATTTTCATCAAAATCAAATTTTAAGTTGGAAGAAATTAGTGTGGAGAATTATGTTTTGCTCTAATATAATTTTTTAAAATCTCATAACTTTACTTAGCAGGTATATCCACATTAGGAACAGCTACCACTTGCCCTGTGCCAAGCACTGATCTTCACAGCAGCCCTATGGGCAAATGGAGGTTCAGTAATGAGCCTACGGCCACACAGCTCACATGTAGCAGAGCTGAGATTTGAACCTGGGCATCTGGACCAGAGCCCATGTACTTACTCTGCCTCAACCCTCTATCACCCTCTGAGTGCACTTGCAGGACTTTATATTTTTTTCTGGGCCTCAGTTTCTCCCATCTGTAAAATAGGAAGAGGGGAGGATTTGACTCACTATCTCAATGGCTTTGCCTTACAGGTCCACTGGAGTTAAATGGTGAATTCTCTCTGGACATCAGTAAATGTGAAAATAACAATTGAGAGGTGAGCGTCAAGAAGTCAGACTTACCCCCCAGTGGACCTCTTAGGCATTTGTGCTGCTGGTTCCCCCAAACTTCAGCCTGAAGGGATGAGTGGGGGATAAGGTGTAGGATAAAACAGCACAGCATGACATTTATTAAGCACCTGCTGCATGTCAGGCCTATCATACATTTTACTGATGAGGACACAGGCCCAGAAAAGGCAAGTGACATGTGGTGAGTTGAACAGCATGGAAGAAGGGAAGCCAGGATTTGAACCAAGCCTTCCTGATTCTCTGAACCTTTACATTCCATGTCCCTAGGCTACACCAAAGGTGGGAAACCTTTTTTCTGCCAAGGGCCATTTGGATACTTATAACACCATTTGAGGGTCATACAAAATTATCAACTTAAAAATTAGCTATGAAAAAAGTTCCTGGGTTTATTGACTTTTGAGTCCTGCCTGCGGTTACTTTGGCAGGGTCAGACCAAATGATTTCACCACCCACAGGCTGCCGGAGCTCCCCACCCCTGGGCTACATTAAGCTGCTTCCTGAGTGAGGTGGCAGGGCTCTGCCTCTAATTTACTAAGTAAGATTAAGCAGCCACTTCCCTTCACTGTTTGGATTTCCCTCCCTATTAAGTAACTTGCTGATATGGTTGCTCCGCCTGCCATTTGCCTTCAGGGAAGCTGTTTTTACTCCAGCCACCAGAGGGCGCTGTGGCTTCAGTGGCTCTGCCAGACCAGCGTTGTAGCCTTAAGTCAGGAAGGAGGCTTAGTGAACTCCTGAATCACCTCCTTCCCTTATTTTACAGATAAGAAAACTGCAGCCAAAAGAAGGACCATGGCTTTGGAAGGTGGAGTCCAAGCCGAGGAGGTAGACGCTGTCCTTGGTCAGCTGGTGGTATGTGAACATTTTGTTCATGTTGCTTCACTAAGAGTTACCATGGCCAAAAAAACAAAACAAAACATGGCCCTCTATGCCCTGGACCCTGGGGCTGGGCTCTCAGAGACAGAGAGGCACCAGACGTGGCACCTCTCAGGAGGCTCCCAATCTGTGAAGGAGACCCAGACAAGCAGGCCCACCATAACCACGATCTCCAAACTCCAGGGTGCTGGGGGAAGCCCTGTATAGCATGATTTAGTGCCTCTAATCTCATAACATCCTGAGAGGTAGGTGCACCATTCCCCCATTTTTCAGATAGGAAAGCTGAGACTCAGAGAAGGTGTATTAGTAGCTCAAGGTCTCATAGCCGATAAGTAAGTTGGGATTCAAATCAAAGTCTATCACTCTCCAATCACAGAGGAGAGACTTTTGACTAAGGTTTTGAAGGATGACAAGAAGTTTACCAGGAAGTCTGGTGAAAAATGAATACTATAAAAAGAAAGTAAATTAACTCTGGTTGGGTAGCTCAGTTGGTTAGAACATCATCCTGATATACCAAAGTTGCAGGTTCGATCCCCAGTCAGGGCACATACAACCAATGAATGCATATAAATGAACAATGAATCGATTTCTGCCCCTTCTCTCTCTTTAAAAAAATCAATGAATTTTTTTAAAAAATGAATTGGATTTCTCCCAAGCTCAAGCTTTATTGTATTCCAGGTTTTGTGAGGGCTGTGTGGGCCTTGAGGGGACGGGTAATCAGAAACGGTTCAGGTGGGGAGACCAAGACCCAGAGAGGGACAGAGCCCTATTGGGTGGTCAGTGAATGTGGTCACTCACAGGTTGTGTGTTGCTTCCCCAGCCTCTCCAGATTTAGGAAGCCCGGTCAGGCAGCCATGGACTGGCACAATGACACAAGCCATGCTCTGGACTCACCGCCGACCACCTGCGTCTACCGAGAAAACTTCAAGCGACTACTGCTGCCACCTGTGTACTCGGTGGTGCTGGCGGCTGGCCTGCCGCTGAATATCTGTGTCATCGCCCAGATCTGCACGTCCCGCCGGGCCTTGACCCGCACGGCTGTGTACACCCTGAACCTGGCCCTGGCTGACCTGCTGTACGCCTGCTCCCTGCCCCTGCTCATCTACAACTATGCCCGAGGTGACCACTGGCCCTTCGGTGACCTCACCTGCCGCCTGGTGCGCTTCCTCTTCTATGCTAACCTACATGGCAGCATCCTCTTCCTCACCTGCATCAGTTTCCAGCGCTACCTGGGCATCTGCCACCCTCTGGCCCCCTGGCACAAGCGTGGGGGTCGCCGGGCTGCCTGGGTAGTGTGTGGGGCCGTGTGGCTGGCCGTGACAACCCAGTGCCTGCCCACAGCCTTCTTTGCCGCCACAGGCATCCAGCGCAATCGCACCGTCTGTTACGACCTGAGCCCACCTGCCCTGGCCATGCGATACTTGCCCTATGGCATGGCCCTCACAGTCGTCGGCTTCCTGCTGCCCTTTGCCGCCCTGCTGGCCTGCTACTGCCGTCTGGCCCGCCGTCTGTGTCGCCAGGACGGCCCGGCAGGGCCTGTGGCCCAGGAGCGGCGTGGCAAGGCAGCCCGCATGGCTGTGGTGGTGGCAGCCGCCTTTGCCATCAGCTTCCTGCCTTTCCACATCACCAAGACAGCCTATCTGGCAGTGCGCTCTACGCCCGGTGTCTCCTGCCCGGTGCTGGAGGCCTTTGCAGCTGCCTACAAAGGCACGCGGCCCTTCGCCAGTGCCAACAGTGTGCTGGATCCCATTCTCTTCTACTTCACCCAGAAGAAGTTCCGCCGGCGGCCACATGAACTGCTACAGAAACTCACAGCCAAGTGGAAGCGGCAGGGTGGCTGAGTCCACCGGGGCAGGACAGACCTGAAAATTTCACCAACTATTTAATGAGCCCTTTCTCTGGACCAGTGGGCACAGAGACAAATAAGCCTGAGCCTACCTCTGCAGAAGGTCCCAGTGAGCCATGGAGAGTTGGAGAAGCCATGTTAAGCTGCTCACAGAAATACAGTGTGACATGTACTGTAACTGAGTATGCGGCATGCTCTGGAGTCACTAATAAGGGAGTGAGAGAAGATGAGACGGGGAAGTGAGAGCTTCTGGGAAGAGGCATTTGAGCTGGGTTTTGAGGGATGAATCTGAGCCGAGTGTGATGTTCCATTCATTCAGCAACTTTTGCTGACACCGTGTGTTCAGGCCTGTGTTGGTTCTTGGGCCCCAAAAGAACCAGTCCAAGCCCTGCCCCATACAGGCTCCCAACTACTGGAGGTACTAACACAGTGATGTGAAGGCTGTGACAGAGGGTAAGCATGGCTGCGGGAAACGAAAGCCCAAAGGATACCCATAACCCAGTCCAAGGAGTCAGGAAAGATCTTTTGGGGGGGGAGGAGGTAGGGAGGGGAGCATCTGAACCAGATGTTAAAGGCTGGTGGGAGCTCTGCAAACAGAAGTGGGGATTATGTTAGTGCAGCCTGGGCCAGCCCTGGAGCAGATAGGCAGAGAGCTGTGGAGGGCATGTGGCCTCCTGTGTGTGAAAACTGAATAAACAAGAGCTGTCTCATGGCCAGTCTCCAGACAACGGCAGGAGTGGGGGCTCAGCAGGAGGAGAAATCAGGGAGTGCTTCTTAGAAGAGGTGCAGCTTGAGGTGGGGAGGAATCCAAAAGGCAGAGAGGAGGAGGCTGCTCCTGCTGAAGGTGTTGTGCATACAAAACCCGGGGGCAGCCTGGCCGGGCGTGGCTCAGCAGTTGAGCGTCGACCTAGGATCCAGGAGATCAGGGTTCGATTCCCGGTCAGGGCAACATGCCCGGGTTGTGGGCTGCAGCTGATCAATGACTTTCTCATCATTGATGTTTCTATCTTTCTCTCTCCCTCTCCTTTACTCTCTCTGAAATTAATAAAGATATATTTTTAAAAAAACAAAACAAAAAAACCCAGGGGCAGAGATGCGCTAAGCCTGGCTGGAAAGCAAGTGAGCTTTAACTAAGCCCAGAGGGTTGGGTGTGTGAGGAGCGGGATGAGAAACTGGGCACACCTGGGTGGGTGTGCCCAGTGGTTAGAGCATCGGCCCATGCACATAAGGGTTACAGGTTCAATCCCCAGCCTCAGTCAGGGCTCGTGCCAGAGGTAACCTATTGATGTGTTTCTCTCACATCAGTGTTTCTCTCTCTCCTTCCCCTCCCTTCCACTCTCTCTCTAAAAATCAATGGAAAAAACTTCCTCTGATGAGGATTAACAAAAAAAAAAGGGGAAAAAAGCTGAGTAAGACCAGAGCATTAAATGCCAGGAAGAGCCCCAGACCCCACTTCTGTTCCACCCACCTCTCCCAATGCACCCCTTTCAGGCTCAGGGTATCCTCTATGCCTGGGACACCTCCATCGGGACCCTCAAGTGAGGGGAAATAGCCCCACAACATTGCTTCATTTTAAAAGGAGAAGTCAAAAAAATAAATTAATTAAAATAAAAATAAATAAATAAATAAATAAGAAGTCAGCAGCTTGAGGAGACTCAGAGCCACCTCAGAGCAGTCAGGAGGCTGCTACACGGAGGTCCCATGGTCAGGAGCCTGCTGACCAGTCTTAAGACACACTGATTCTGCCAGGTTCCTCTATCCTGCCCTCAGCTCCATCCTTCTGGCCTGCAGGTACCTGGAGACTGCCTGGAGGCCATCTTATATGGAAGCATCTCAAACACAGACCTGAGCCTTAAAAAGTCTTGTAAAGACCTCTTAACTGAAGGTCCCGAGGAGGCAGCTAAGGGGGATTATACCAGGCAAGGCCCTTCCAGGTCCTCAGCTATTCTACCCCTGCACACCTCTCCCCTCAGCCACGCCTCTGCAGATCCTCACCTTGTCTGCTCTTTTCCCTTATCTCTCCTGCCCCCACCCGCACCCCTTATTCCCCTCACTTCTCCTCCAGGCCTTATTTCCTCCTGTGGGACAATCCGGCCCACCCTTGGCTGCTGGCGTACCACACAGACCCTGCACTTGACAGATCAGGGTGTCGAAGAGTCTTCCTTTTTAGAAGATGGAGGAGAGGGAAGGGCAGAGGGCCAGGGCAAGGAGGGGAAGGGCTGTAAAAGTGATTCACTATCTTCCTTTTAGCCCTGCCTAATCTCCAAGGCTGTTGGGCAACGGGGACATTCAGAGAAGGGCTCTGGAGGAGTTAAACTCCATCGTAATGTAAGAGGTGTGCTTGCAGCTGGTGGGGGAAGTGGGAAACCAGGCCCAGCCCACCTTGGGAATCCATTGCAAGTGCCGTTGTTGGAGAGGCTGATGAGTTGGGCAGAAGGAACTTTGATTCTTTGGGCCACAGTGAGATAGACATGAGGGGATGTCAGAAGCAGAGGCTGGTTCTTACTCCCTATATGATGCCATGCTATGCCTGGCAGTACAGATATTACCCACCTTACATCTTGTTCCAAGTCTTTCAACCAGACTCTTCAGGTGCCTGTGATGGGGGAGTGGGTGGGAGGGAGAGCAGAGGCAGAGGGCCTCTCTCCACAGCCCAGGCTGAGCCCCCGTAAAGACCCAGATGACTGTCCCAGCAGACTACCAAGAACTGTGACCTTCTGGTAAGTTTTTCAAGAGTGGAAATTGTGAGCCGCTGGTAAATTCCATCCCCAGCTTCCCTGCGAGACAGAATGGCCCCAGGTGTGTATCCTGGCTCTACCATTTGTTGTTCTGGACAAGTTAACTTCTTTGTATCTTAACTTCCCTAACTGTAAAATGGGAAAATAATGAAATCTGTCTTATAAAGTTGTTGTGAGGATTAAACTACTTAATATGTGAAAACCACTTAGAACATAGTAAGCGTGCAATGATTGTTATTCTTATAATGACTTGGCCTTTTTGACACATGAGTTCCTCCAAAGTCTATCTCTAGGAATAGTCATAGGAGGTTTCTAAACAAGGGAACTTGAAGCAGGGGATTGCAACAATTTCTCTTTCTCCTTTGCCTGGGAAGCAGCCAGTCTTTTTTTTTTTTTTTTAATATATTTTTATTAATTTCAGAGAGAGGATGGGCGAGGGAGAGAGAAATAGAAACATCAATGATGAGAGAGAGTCATTCATCCACTGCCTCCTGCACACCCCCTGCTGGGGATCGAACCTGCAACCAAGGCATGTGCCCTGACTGAGAACTGAACCGAGATCTCCTGGATCCTAGATCAATGCTCAACCGCTGAGCCATGCTGGCTGGGCACCAGTCTTTTTTAAGAAAAAAACACATGAACTCAGTCACTTTTTGAAAAACAAGGGCCATAGTCCATAAGCCCAGCTGTTCCTATAAGGAAAAACCATTTATTACATGCCAGTGCCAGGGACTCCAAGCACCATTTGAGGGGCTTGAGTTCCTCCTTTCCTTCTCCCTCCTTTTTTCTCCATCTTCTTCATCCCCCCTTCTCCCTCCTCACTTTAACCCAGAGCATACTCAGCAACGGGGTGGGAGGTGAGAACTTACCCTGAGGGTGTCCCCTTGCTGGGCTGGGGAAAGAAAGGATACAGATAGGGATGTGGGGGTGGAGTATGGTGAGGGTCAGAGAGACCATAAAGGTTCAAAGGAGTCCATGATAATTTTTCCATGGGTTGGAGACTTCCCAGGGGATGGAGCACTGCAGCTGGGCCTTGAAGAGAGTGAGGATGAGGCAGGAGAGATCTAGTATCCGGGTTAGAGAAAGGCGGTGTGACCTTGGCACATCAGGTCCCATACCTGGGCCTCAGTTTCCCCTCCTATAACAGGAAGTATTGTAAGGATTAAATGAGAAGATGTGTACACAGCACATTATATGGTGCCTGGAACCTGCAGAGCCCAGCAAGTAGTCACTGCTGTCGTTGTGGCTCCCCAGTGCTTCCCTGGCCTGGCATCAGGCCCTTAGTTTCTAGCCCTGCCAACTCTCCAGCCTCATCCCAGGCTACAACCCTTCCTATGCTTCATCTAACAGCCTCCATGCCTTTGCCTGTGCTGGAATCTAAGGGGGTAGATGGGCTTCTTGAGGGAGAGAGTAAGAAGAGGAGAGGGGCCTGCATAGAGTCCTAGAACATTAGGGGGCTGGTAAGAGAAGGGGCCAGAGAGGTGGAGGTAGAAGCCTGGGGATCTCTGAATAATGGTGACACTGTGAGGCGGTGGAGTTGGGTGAGGGAGGGAGAGGCTGGAGGAAAGGAAGTGAAGGTGATGGGTGGAGAAGTAAAGAAAGGAAGGTTCTGAGGGAGGCCAAGCCCAGGGAAGACAATCAGCAATTGAGGACAGGGAGCCAGGGCAGGGCCAGGATGGGGGAGCCAGAGAGTCAGGAACCAGGGCTTGATTTGGGGAGATTTCCATTCAAAGCAGGAAAAGTCCAGGGGCACTGGATCTGTTCTAGCAATGGATGCAGCAGCCTCCTCCCTTCTTCATTCGTTTAACAAACATTCTCTGTGCTCCTCAGAGATGGTGCTGAGAACACTGAGGCAGCTCAGACCCAGATCCTACCCTCAAAGAATCCAGGGGGCTGGGGATGCAGACAATGAAACAAACAGTTCATCCAGTAAACATTTATTGAACACCTGCTGTATGCCAGGCATCATGCTGGCAGTGGGCGCCTGCCCTCAGGGAGCTCCTAGTCTGATGGAGAATGACAATAATGAAATAAACACATACACATCTGGATCGTTACAGTTGAAGAGAAGAGTTCAGAAAACATACAGAGGGTGGACCAGGGGCAAAGAAGGTCTCACTAGGGAGACAATAAGCTCATGGAATGGTCAGGAGATGCTGGGGACCACAGGGGTCCTGACCCAGTGTGAGGGGCAGTGAAGGTTTCTTAGCTGAGGCCCAATGACCTCAGAAGGCATTAGCTCAGCACAGGAGTGCTGT